AACAAAATCAAGCTAGGGATAAGGATCAAGGATAAGGTGTTCAAGGTAGTAAATGAGATCGTTGCGGATATTCCAACGAATCGCTTGATCAATTGAGGTAGGTGCTTGGTGCCGTTGTTATCCTTTCATGAGTCGAGGAATGTGGCGCCCAATATCTTTGCACCCTGCTTGCTTCATTTGCCATTGTCCAGTCGTCATTGATGGTCATGGTGTCCTTTCTTTGATCGTCAAAGTTTTTGGCAACAGCGCAGGTATTTCGGTGCCGTGCTTCACACTGAGTGCACACCACTTGGAGGCTTTTGGCTAGGGGCTATCCAGCATTCCTGGGAATGGCTATTAGGTTGGAGGCCATTGCTATTAGGTCGGAGGCTATTCTTATTAGGGGCCATCCAGCATTCCTGGGGGAACAACACATGTCTATCCATGTCTAGATGCATCGCATACCAGGACCCATCGGTTCATGGACACCCCTTTACCTCTAAGTTGCTATTAGTCAACACCCCGAATGGGGGTGCCGGTTACCGGCCCCTTAAAAGGCCGGCTACTGCAATTGTATTCCTGAAAATTTTGTACATGTTACATATACCCTAGCCTTCAAAGACCATTCAGAGAAAGGTTGTAGTTTAAGTCCTTAGTAAAGCAATGCTCGTTCGGAATTCAGGCTATTCAATGGTGGGCCAGGAAGCCTTCCGGGACATGTATGAAGCCTTCACCTGGCCTTTGTCGCGAACCTCCGGTGGACCGCACGGTTCGATGGCCGCACGGATTGATGAGTCGATTCGATCTGTGCACTGGTATAGTAATCATTTTTCCTGAAGGGAAGAGTTTGAATTCAAAGAAGATCAAAGAAGCTACCAACCCTTCCGGTTCCATTCCGCTGATGTCCTTCTCACATCTGATGTGACTCCTCACCACGCACTAGTGAAGAAAATTTATTTCTTGATGAAAAGTGGAGGGATGTCTAGAGTGGATCTGGAATGGTGAGGCTTGCACGGACAGACTACGTATTCAAGATTGTATATTGATGGCTTCTGGGACGGCTGCATGGTTCTTCTTCACTGTGGAGCAGTGGAAGTACCCCCGACAGCTGGGGCGATCGAAGCGGTGCTGAGATTTTTACATCGTTTTCATGTGCTTTCTTTGTCCCTGAACATGAGAAAAGTGAAGAACGAATGTGTCTAAGATATTAGAAAACAATCCGCTAACCACCGAACTTGGGTCTTCTTTCATTCAGATTCATGTCCATGAAGTTTGTTTTTTACAGCTAGTTACCGTAGTTACTAGGCCGTTTTCTCTTCGTGAACCAGTTCTTCAACTCACATCACGTGTTTTAACGTGGCATGGACCATTGGATTGTTCCGATGTTCTCTTTGGACCCAGAGCCATCCTCCATGTGCCGTTCGGAGTGCATTTCTCCCTTTCAAATGGGTCGAAGGGAAACAGCAGAGAGAGGAAACCCAGTTTGGCGGTTCCAACGTTCCAACCACGGTGGTCTTGTAGATGTCCCGTATTAAACCCATTCCATCGAGCCAGCCAGCCTTCGATTCTCTTCCGTTCCCGTGTTCGTTTCTGACATCAACAGCTCAGAAACCGCCGCGAACCACCGCAACTCTCCAGTTCGGACATTTGGTTACATGTCCGGTTTCAAGACAATAGACATTGTCCTGATCGTTGCTTGCATCGGCCGTTGGCCATGTTTCTTCACACATGCAACGGTCGGATGCGACTGGGTGAGGACTTAACGGCTCAGCAGTCATCCTTTGTCAGGAACGACTGGGTGTTTGGGTTCAACCGCTCCTGCTCCGGCAGTACATCTCGCAGCCAAGGCAAGATGGCCGTCAAATCAGGGTGGAGCAAAATGGCGACAAATACACCAAACCACATGTCTTCACCCATTGGTGAAATGAGCGACAAAAAACTCCTTCTTGGGCAACACCCACATGGTCACATGGCATTTCCGGGTTGTACTGATACTAGACAGCAACCCAAGATCTTTGTCAGACGCTTGGCTACTGACTCCTGACTTTAAAATCGAGCTTTCATTTTGTTGAGACCAGATTCTCCTGCAACCCAATGATTTTCACTCAGCCCGTTACTAGTAGCAACTGGGCCATGGTGACAGTATGCCACATCCTTGATGGCTCCATCCCTGAGATTTTGCAACCAAGTCTGTTGACCTGCGTGCGGCTGCGGGAGAAGAACCTCCAACAGAGAGATGGTTATCACAGTCCATTCAGTTTGGTCCGATTGCAACCCTACCTGGAGCATCCTGTTTGCATGCCCTTCCATCCCATACCCCTTACTTGGTCCCCTATGAAATGATCCTCCAGGAGTCTTATGAAATGATCTCCGGCAGTTCATTACATAAAAACATAACTACGTAAAAAAGACAAAACAATCCAATGACAGTACTAACAATGTCTGAGACCAATTCAGCTATCATTATATAGAGATGAGGGGGTGGATGATGAAACATGTTGAGACTAAATCTAAGATCTTAATGAAACCTGGAGTAGATCATTTTAGAGAGATGTGTTTTGTGTGTTTTTTTTGTTGATTGAAGGATCTGTTGCTGGAGTTGTCATTTCATAAGAGTCATGGATCCAGCTTTTGAATCATTTTATAAACCTCTCATGTTGATCGCCGCGCCTTCCTGTCAACCTCAAAAAGATATATAAATAATGTTAATGTTGCCAGTAAAGGTTTGCTAAAGCAATTGAAATACATATGAAGACATCAAACAAATCATAACAAAGCAAGATATGATTTAATTCAAAATATCGCAGCTATATGAACATTGTTCGAATCTGCAAGTGGATCTTTTTTAAATGATTTTTAGACTATATTATTGAAAGCGGATATTGTTCTTCTAAAAAACTAACATATTTCATCAAGTTTGAAGTGGTAGCCCAAAGATACCTGAACCATTTGGGCCCCCAGGGTTGCTGACCTAGATCCCCTGTTGAAC